CTTTGGGGTCTTTTTACCCTAACTGCCTAGCCAATTCCTACCTCCTATTCTTATCACACCATCCTCTGAAGAGGTTACCAAATTGCCAGTAGGGAATAGGGATGCAGACCACTCTGGCTTCTTCCATGCTAAACAAGGATGCAGGGTAAGGCAATTGGAGTACCCCTTCACTGGGTCTATCTAAAAGACTTCCAAATTGTATAATTCTTATCTCTAAGAGGAAAAGAAAGTCTTTGACTCATGAATAGGAGATGTGAAGGAGAAGTAAAGGCAAGAGTAATTAGCATTACAAGTTCTAGCCAGAGAACTAGAAAAAAGTCAGAACAGGGCAGTTGTCAAATGTTCATGAGCCCATTGGAATTTCTTGACAAGGGCTTCCAAAAGCATCCCTCTATTGGGTTCCTCCTCATTTTTCTTTCGTCTTCCAAGTCTGGACTGTAGAGTGATGGATTCAGGGTTTGCTTTCAGGTATTTTGATAGCTGTTGGAGGGGTTAAAATCAGTGTCAGTTCCCTCTCAAAGGGTTCTAGATAGGGGGAGAAAACAAATTTATCCATCATTTTAGAACAATAGCTGGTTGTCTCCCTTAGCTACAGGTGGGCACCATAGCGTTGGAGACCAAGATTTGAAGTCTTACATTTTGAGCAGCACTTTCTGGTTAGGAACAAAAATCATCAATGAGAAATAATTGTCTAAATAACTTATTATATAGACTTAAGCCTAATGTCTGGGAAGTGTAATCCCTTGAACTCTTAAAGAAATATATGATGACTTTACTCTTTGGTTATACTTCCCTTTTGGGTGTTTAAGACCATACAGTTGGCTCAAATAAATCAATCTACTTTTACACCTAAGATTATTTGAGGATCTGTTCCTCAGGGGTCCCATGGGCTTGGGAGGAGCCCCTGGCTCCTTTTTTTACCAGTTCCATCTATGTGAAGATAAGTCAAAGGTCCTGCTTGACCATGTCTGGCTTTACCTGGAAGCATGAATGAGATGTTTTCTGAGTTGACCTTCCTCTTTGTAGACTGGACACTGGTTCAAGTCCATCTTGTGGGGTCTCCATGTCCTCCCTGAACAAGAGGACAGGTGATTCATAATTTTATCATTTATAAAGACAAAAGGGGCTGGAGAGACGGCTTTGCTGGAGACCTGAGTTTGGTTCCCAGAACCCCATGCTGGGTGATTCACAAGTTCCTGTGACTCCAGCTCCAGGAGGATCCAATGTGTCTGGCCTCCTTGGGCACTTGCACACACTCACACACACCCATACACAGACACATACATACACATAATTACAAATTTAAAAGTTAATAAAATAGGGCTGGAGAGATGGCTCAGTGGTTAAGAACACTGGCTACTCTTGCAAAGGACCCAGATTTGATTCCCAGCACCCATATGGCAGCTCACAACTATCTATAACTCCAGTTCCAGGGGATCTGACGCCCTCTTCTGACCTCTGCTGGCATTGCATGACATGGCTGCCCTTACGTACATGTAAGCAATACAGTCATACAGAAAATAAAAATAATAAATAAAATATTTTTTAAATATTTTTTATTTTTTAAATTTATTTTTTAAATTAAATATTTTTAATAATAAATGAAAGTTAATAAAATAAATGTAAAAGAAAATTTGCATGCTAATGAAATGAATGTGCTTATTTTTACATAAAGAGTTAAATCTTGTCTAAATATTCAATGCCACAAGACATACAGCATCTTCAGCATTTCTCAGAGTTCATCAGTATTTCAATTATCTGACCATCAATGTGGAGAATGCCACTTCATGTAGTGCATGTAGTACAAATGGAAGAAAAATGATTAGGGCCATTTCAGACATTGTTGGAAATTCTATCCTAATCCCAAGTCAAAATTAATTGAACCATTTATTATGAAACCTGAGTCAGTAATTTTTTTAATTTTTATTTTATGTGTATGCGTGTATTGCCTGCATGTAGGTAAGTGCACCCGTGTCGTGCAATGCCCGAGGAGGTTAGAAGAGGCTGTCAGATCCCCTGGGACTGGAGTTACAGGCTGTTGTTAGCTGCCATGTGGGTGCTAGGATTCAAACCCGGGTCTTCTACAAGAACAACCTGTGTTCTTAACCACTGAGTCATCTCTCCAGCCCCTTGAATCAGTAATTTTTAAAATCAAGCATTCTAACTCAGTATAATCCAGAGATATACTAGTTCACTACATGCTGAGGAATGATGGTGGGAAATAGTAAAAGTCTTGGTTTCTTGCTATTAAGCCAGTGTTTCTGCAAGAGAAGAAAATTTTGTATGTGCAGTACAAACACTGAAATGCACAGTGTACGATAGTCTGGAATCTGAGCTGAGGGTTTTAAAAATTTTGTTTATTATTTTTATTTTATATGTATGAGTGTAATGCCTGCATGTAGGTAGGTGCACCCATGTCATGCAGTGCCCTCGGAGATCAGAAGAGGGTGTCGGATCCCCTGGAACTGGACTTACAGATAGTTATTAGCCGTCTGTGGGTGCTAGGAATTAAACCCAGATCTTATGCAAGAGCAGCCAGTGCTCTTAACTGCTGAGCCAATTCTCCAGCCCCCTGAGCTGAGGTGTTTTAAACAGCATTAATTGGCATGTAGTATGACAGTATATACAACACAAAGTGCACATGTTGTTTGTTCAAAACCAAGACTGCAATGAAGTCACATGATGTAACAGGAACAAAAGCCACCCAAAACATCTCAGGTTTGTTTCATGTTTGATTTTGAATTACTCATGGGTTGTTGCATGTTCAGAAACCGTTTCTGTTGTCATTTTTTTGTAACCCACATTCAGTTATATGATCCCATGTGGCATCCCCACCCACAGTTTAAGATGCTGGAGTCTAGAGAGCCAGAAAGACTAGGCCATAGGGAGGCCCCAAGACCTGAGCCCAGCAGAGAGAACCACCAGAGGGAAGTGAGCAGATGGTGGCCCCAGGGACTGTGCTAGAAACTTCTTTACCTCAGACACTAATTCACTCACACTTTGGAACAGAAATTACAATCCCCGTACCCCACACTCTCTGTTTGAATCAATTATTCCTCTTACACTACGCCAACCAATTATTGTGTTTAGCATTTACTCTATGACAGGAACTCTGGAGATATAACTGTGTTAATATTCATATCCAGTTTATAAGGCAGGTACTTTTATTATTCCCTTTTATGAGTGGGAAAACCAAGGCTCAAAGAAGTAAGTGACTTGGCTCAGGTCATGTAACTACTGAATGTCTAAGCCAAAATTGCTGCTCAGGTTTCTCTTATGCCAAAGCCTGTGTTCTTTCTGTCCGAGTCTAAGCTAAGGGTCTGAAGGAAGAGATAAGGGCATGGGGATGGGGATGGAGAGGATGAAAATGATAGCACCCCACACAGAAGGGTATGCCTTAAACACAAAGATGACAAACATCCTTATTGAAAAAACTAGAGAGGTCAACTTCACTAATGGCCAAAGGAGTAGAGACTGGCATGACCCAAAAGTCCTTCCTCAGATACCAGGATATGCCCTCCAGAACCCTGAAGGCCACTGACCATTCAGGCTGTGTCTATAGGCACCAGCCCCAGGTGCCTGAAGTTCTGGTCTGTGGCTGTATCTCCCTTTTCTCCAAAGCCTGGCCTTCTAAGCTTCCCTAGGCACTTGCCTCCTCGTCACCACTTTAATATTCCACCCGACTCCACCTCTTGCCACAAACAGAACCATCAGCAAGGCCTCACCACCTAAGACTAGTCAGACCTCAGGGTCTTAGATCACTGGGGCTGTGAGGCCTTAGGTCACCAGGTCATTGCAGCTTTCCCTCTTGCCTCCTGAGTATACTGCCCCTGACTTCACTAACAATTTATTCCCTTAAAGGAACGAAGGAATCAAATAGGCTTGAGTGATAGTGTCTGAACCAGGGTCCATGACCACAAATCTCAGGATTCAATTTAACAGAATCACAAAGTAAGATTCAAGAAGGCAGACCTAAGATCGTACTCTCAAAAGGGCCCATACTTGGGTTAATGGTATGGTATCATAATCTCAAAATTCTTGGTTTTGTTTTACAAGAAACCCCGCATTTTTCTTTTGCACTTAGTCATGAAAATTGTATTGCCCAACAAGATGGATGCTCCTGTAACCTGTACTCTCTTCTGGGGTTCCCCAGGACCACTGTCAGATCTAGGCTGGCTGGACAAAAGCCCTCACCCTCACCCTCCACTCCTCCTGCATGCACCCACCTGTGCTGAACAGAACTGGCCAAGAAGGCTTGTCTTGGCTGGCTCAGGGAAGGCCACAGATAGACAGTTCTCTGAGTACCTATCATCTAGCACTCTGGGGACAGAGGAAGAGGAGCAAGGAGTTTCCAGGTTAGATGTATGATGGAGAGATTGCTGCCCAGGAAATGAAGCCAGAAGAACTTCAAACATGAAACAATGATGCATCAGGAAAAGACCCCATTCAATACCCCTCACCCTCAAGTTCTTGAAACCACAGCAGCATGGCTGTCTGCCACAGGCCCTGAAGTACTTTTATCAGAAACATTCAGCACTTGGGCTCAGGATCAATGGTCAGAATTTAAACCCTGCCAGAGGTGTGATCTTGCCTTTAAAAAAGATTTTTTTTTTTTTTTTTTGGTTTCCTCATTTATAAAATAAAAATATCACTCAGGGTACAGAATGAAAATCAGGGATGATATAAGTAGCAACTCAGTGCCTGCCACATGTATAAGCTCTGTACCAGGTACAAATCCTTGGGGAAGCCTCACTTAATTCTCAGCTTCAACCTGTGAAGAGATTGCAACTCAGAGATCAAAGTCTCTGAGGTTGTCTCAGGACAGGTGAGAAGGAGGGCCATGGTGGTCCAAGCCCACTGGCAGGCACAGTGGCCTTGTGCTACCTGGGGGGGAGAGTTATTCACACAGTTGCAGGACATTGAGGAGGTTCTTTCAGGGACTACCATTTAAAGTCCCTCTGTGGGGGAAAAAAATTCCATTTTGTAAATGGAAAAGTATAATTAGAGACCACTGTGTCTTCCCGGGGCCAGTCCCTCGTTCCCACCATCTACCACCCACAGTGAGACAGAATAGAGTGGAGGCTGCCATCATGTCTGCAGTGAAGGATGCTGGGATGCCTGCCAGCAACCCAGTCTCTCCCTCAAACCCTTGCACTTACTTTTTTCAAATACTTTTGGCAGTGTAATTTGCATACCAGAAGCAACCAAATTGTTACGTATGCAACTTGATAAATGTTCTCAATCAAATATACCCCTTACCAACATCAAAGAAGAAAACATTCCCAGAATTCCAGAAGCCTCACTGCTACTTCTCTTGAACCACTGCCCTGCATCACCCCCAAAGGGCTGACTCCTGACACCACTGATTAGTCTTACCTGTTTTAAAACTTTATATAAATGGAGCCGGGTGTGGTAGTGCGTGCCTTTAATCCCAGCACTCAGGAGGTGGATGCTGGTGGATCTCTGTGAGTTTGAGGCCAGCCTGGTCTACATAGCAAGTTCCAGGTCAGTCAGAGCTATATAGTGAGACCCTGTCTCAAGAAAACAAAAATCAAAAACTACTTTATATAAATGGAACCGAGATATATGTACCTGTGTCTGGCTTTTTGTTCTACATTCTATCATAAATACAGACTCATCTAGATTTTTCCAGATATACAACTGCAATTCATTCATATTGCTAAATATTCCTTTGTGTAAACATCCCACAAGTTACTCTTCTGAATCTTTGAGTAATTTCTAATCCCCTCCAGGTTTTTAATCCCTCATAATTTTAAATAGCTAAAGAAGAGCTTTCCAAAACTCTCTTTAAAAGTAATCTCTTTAAAGCCAGACGTGGTGGTACACACCTTTAATCACAGCACTCGGGAGGCAGAGGTAGGTGGATACCTATGAGTTCAAGGCCAGCCTGGTCTACATAACAAGCTCCAGGCCAGCCAAGGCTACAGGGAAACCCCATCTCAAAAAAAAAAAAAAAAATCTTTAAATGAAGTATGCTTCATTACTGATGGACATTTTAAGCAAGGGTAAAGATTTTTTTTTTTTCTGAAATTAAAGCATTACAATCACTCAAGTGGAAGTCCTAGAGAAATAGTACCATAAAAAGAGTCACTTGGGGGGCTGGGGCTGGAAAGATGTCTCAGCACTTAAGAATACTGGCTGTTCTTGCAGAAGACCGGGGTTTGAATCCCAGCACCTACATGGTAGCTAACAATCATCTATAACTCCAGTCCCAGGGGCTACGACACCCTCTTCTGTCCTCCATGGGCATTGCCCAGCATTGGTACACTTACTTACAGAAAGTCACTTGGAGGCTGCAGATATAGTTCAGTTTATAGAATGTTTGCCTAGCATACAAGAAGCTTGGGTTCAATCCCTGGCACCACAGAAATTGTATATGGTAGTACACATCATATATGGTAGTACACACACCTGGGGAGGTAGAGGCAGGAAAAGCAGAAGTTAAAAGTCATCCTCAGCTGCATAGGGAATTAGAGGCCAGTCTAACCTAGAAAAGGAAAAGGAAAACAAAAGAAAGGAATCAAAACACAAACAAAATTGTGAAAGACTAAATAAATAAATAATGCGGTAATTGTGCCTGTCAGAAAAAGAAGCCACTTTGAACAAATACATGGGCAAATTTTATAAGCATCTGTTTTAGTCTGTTTCAGCTACTGTAACAAAATGTCACAAACTGGGTAATTCATGAACATAAATTTAAGCTTCACAGTTCTGGAGGCTGGGGAAGTTCAGGGTCAAAACATTAGCAGGTTTATAAGAACTCACTCTCTGGTACCTTCTATCAACATCCTTCCATGCTAAAGGACAATTCACTGGGGTTCCTTTCATAAGGGTTCTGCCTCTATGGCCCAATCACCTCTTAAATGCCACCTCTCACATCATCACTTTGAGACTAGTTCAACATTTGAGTTGTAGGGGAGACATGGAGATCCAGACCATGACAGTATCCCACTGAATCTTCCCTTAGAACTCATAACAATCCCAAGTATATACCATGGCTTTCTATTAGAAAATTATTTTATGAGAATACAGGGCAAAAGAGCCTGGTGCCAAGGAAGGCTTCATAAAACAGCCCTTCTCAGGAGAGGTGTGGATGATAACTCCTTCTGCAAATGCTGGTCATTTTCTTTCTAAAAATTTTGGAGACACAAATGTACTTAAATGGCTGGAACCACTTTCCTCTCCTATTTTGCAGTCATAAGAGGAGGAGGAGAGGGTGAATAACACACATAACCATGGTAAATTAGTAATTTCCCTTTTACTCTGAATTTCTCAGTTCCCATAATGAAAGCACTTATGTTACAGAAAGCCTGAGGACTCATTTGACCCCAGAGTATCACCAAAACTATAATAGTGGCTCCATTCTTTTTTCTCTTCTTCTTTTTTAAAAGGCCAACATTTTTCCATGGCCCTAGAGATGCATTGAGAATACAAAAACCAGTGCTCACAAATGTCACTGGAACCATGTATGTGACAAGCTCTCCTTACAAAGTTCCTGCAAGGGAGGAAAGATGGTGGGTGTCACCAGATAGGTTATCTATGTTCAGGCCACTTCACTTCTCTGAGCTCAGTTTCTTCCTCAGTAATGCAGGCAACAATGACCACCTTCGGGGATTTTGTACGGACTGAATGAAGCAATGCAGGTGAAAAGCTCTCTAGCCCAGTCTTAGCCATTCACGCTACTGTAGGAATGGACAAGAGTAGCAGAAGGAAGAGGAAAATTCCATTTATGCACAGTACATAAGTGAAGTTCATCATCTACTGTGTTCCCAGTCCCGCGAAGTTCTACAAATCCTTCTAGAATAAAATTTTAAAGGTTAAAAATTGGACCGGTGTGGGGCTGGGGAGATAGCCCAGCAGTTAAAATTACTGGCTGTTCTTGCAGGGGACCTGGGTTCAATCCCCTGCACCCAAATGGCAGCTAACAACTATCTGTAACTCCAGTTCTGGGGGCTCTGATGCCCTCTTTTGGCCTCCGTGGGTACATGGTGCACTTACATGCAGGCATAAGCCAGGCGTGGTGGCACAGGCCTTTAATCCTCGCATTTGGGAAGCAGAGGCAGGTCGATTTCTGTGAGGTCAAGGCCAGCCTGGTCTACATAGCAAGCTCCAGGCCAGCTGAAGCTACAGGGAGACCTGTCTCATAAAGACAAAAAAAACTTGGGCCTAAAATCAAAAGTTTCAATTAGATTGGTGTAGAAAATGATATCAATTAGTTTGTCACTTAACTTTCTGACCATCTATCATTCTACAAGTATTTACTAAGTATCCCAAATGATCCTTGACCTTAATCTCATTGAATTGAAGGCAAAAAACAAAACAAAACAAAACAATTAAGATAATCAGAAGTATGGCAAATCACATCAGGTTCCATGAAGAAAATAATCAAGGTCCAAGAGACCATACTGGAAGGAGCTTTCAGATAAACTTTCTGGAAGAGTCTCAGCAGATGACATTTAAGATGAAAGAAGATTCCACAAAGCTAAGAATGAAAGGAAAGTGTCCTAAAAGGATGTAACAGGATTGGAAAGTTAACTAAACAATAAAAGAGGGATACTCAGTGCCTGGTATAGCACATAGACGAGGCGGCACAGGCAGAGGAAGAGTGAGGAGGAGGACGAAAGTAGGAAGAGGAGAGGAAGAAGGAGCGGAAGAACAGGTGGAGGAGGAGGAGATGAGGGTGGGTCCAGGATCATGACTCAGGGTACACAAATTTTGTAGGCCATGGTAAGGAGCTTGGATGTTCCCTTGGCTGTGGCTACACATGGGTTTCTACACTTTCAAGAGGAAAGAAATAAAATTCCCCCAATGTATTATAAAACTTCAAAATGAGTTATCAATCAAAAAATACATTGTTCAATCACTGTTCAAATGTGAATGTTTGATGTAAATTCCAAACTTCTTGCAAGCTTTCCACAAAAGGATCTGGGCTGCTGTTTAATTTTTCTCTAATCACGAATAATAATATCCAAGACAATAGCAGAAGGGCCAACTAGATGAAGAGTACCTGAGCCCTGGAACATTTTTCTGCAGCTTTCTGTCTCTCTACACCTATTTCAAATTGTAAACATCTCATATGAATCATGTTAAAATAGCAGACTGCCTTGTCAACCTGGAGTCTGATCCATTGTACCTTTTCTTTCAGGGTCACCTCGGAAATTGATGATATATTAGTTACTGTACTATTGGTGATAAAGCACCATGAGTGAGCCTAAAGAGATAGCTCCGCAGTTAAGAGCACTGTCTGCCCTTGCAGGGGACCTGGGTTTGAATCCCAGCACCCACATGGCAGCTAACAACCATCTGTAACTCCAGTTCCAAGGGACCTGACGCCCTCTTCTGACCTCCGTGGACACTGCACGACACAAATGCACTTACACACATGCAGGCAAAATATTCAAAATAAACACATAAAAATTAAAATTAAAAAAGCACCATGACAAAGGTAGCTTATAAAAGGAAGAGTTTATTGGACTTACAGTTCCAGAGCACGTCATGGGAAGGACACATGGTGGCAAGAGGTGGCTAGAGCAGAAAGCTAAGAGTTCATATTCTCAAGCGCTCACAGAAAGCAGAGAAAGCAGGAAACAGGACACGGCTATGAACCCTCATAGCCCACTCCAGTGATGTGCTTCCTCCAGCAAGGCTGCACTGTCCTAAACCTCCCCAAAGAGTGCCACCGACTGAGCAAGTATTCAAATACTTGGAGCCTATGGGGGAAATTCCTCATTCAAACAACCATTGATGGCATATTAAAAACTGGGAAACTGAAAAACCATTCCTTTCCTACGTTTGTTGTCATTCCAGGGGGCAATACAGAAATACAGCCTCCAGAGGCTAGAGAGGTGGCTCAGCGGTTAAGAGCTCTTGCAGAGAACCCAGGTTTGGTTCCCACCACCCACATGGTGGCTAACACCTGTCCTTAACTCCAGTTCAAGGGGATCCAACACCTTCTTCTGTCCTCCACGGGCATCACAACACATCTACATGCAGGCAAAACACTCATACACATAAAAGTAAATAAATAAATGAAATTTTTTTTAAAAGAAAAAAATAGCCTCCAAAACTGCTTCCAAATTACAGGCATTTGCAAGTAGTCAGGACTTAGAATTTGTGAAACATATACTTTTCTCTCATGTGAAATCTTTGGTGGTGGGGGAGAGCTCTTTTCTACAAAAGGATCACATTGAAAGATCTAACTTTGCCCTATACTTTTGCACATTTTTGGTTCTACTTACATCTGGGAATAGATTTTTTTTTTCCACAAGTATGTTTAAAACACAAGTATGAAGCTGTATTCACAAACGCATATTTAGGCAGCCTGAGTTTGCAACCAACAGGAAAAAAAAATATCAACATTGAAAATTTGTTAAAGTTATCAAAAAATAGTGCTCACTTTTTGGTTGGGGGCCACTAGTAGGATTCTTCCCAGAGAGACTCTGGACTCTCTTGGGCAAGGCCTCCATGCCATTCCTCCACCAAAAGGTCCCCTCCCCATACAGTATGGATATGCTAAGTGCTGGGCTAGCTGCTGGGAACAGCCAATGGGAGAGACACTCCATTCTTTTAGACACTCCATTCTTTTCAGAACAGAAAGTGCACTGGATTAGGTTTGTTTGTAGACAGGGACTTAAACTCATTGTATAGCTGAGGATGACCTTGAATTTCTGATCTGCCTTGTCTCCATATTCTGAGTGCTGAGATTACAAATGTGTAGCACCACACCCAGTATATAGGGTGCCGGGGATCGAACCCAGGACTTTTTGTATGCTAGACAAGTACTCTACCATCTGAGCTACATGTCCAGCTCTTAGACCTTCTTCTAACACTCTCTCAGCAAGAGACTCTGAGTACCAAAATTCACAGAAATAGTTATGGAAGACAGAGTTCCAATGTATTAAGTTAATATGGGATTGATCCTTCACTGAATTACTTAAGTCTTCAAAAAAGAACAATCACTTCAAATGCAGGGAAAAGAAATTAAGAGTGGGGTCCTGAGAGCCCACTGTTTGTGTCTGATACCCAGCTCTCTCACTTATTGTCTATGTGACCTTGGGAAAGTTAATTAATCACTCTATGCAATGTATTGTCTGTGCAATCTAAGTCATAAAGATAACCTGTATGATTGATTATTGTGGTGATTAAATGAGACAATACATGTAAAGATAATATATGTAAAGCAGAATGTTCTCAGTTGCTGCTAAGTGTTTATAAGGCATTCTCTAATACTAATAAGTTTAATTCTGCTTGACAAGCTGAATCAGCATAAATGGCCTTTGAGAAGCTAGCTTCCTCACCCCAGAGCAATGAGTCTCCCTTGGCCATCAGGATTCTCTGGCCCGTCACATCCTACATTCCCGCCCTCGGGGCCAGGCTGGAGAAGCTTCGCAGCTCCATCTTGCTTCTCTGAGCCATTTTTCCTACTCTAACCTTACCTCTTCTTACTTGGCCCATTTTTCTCTTTCTGTTTAAAGTGCAATGTCTTTC